GCTTCAGCCGATAATATTCGTGGACTGTTTAAGTCCTTATTACCTTTTAGTGCCATTTTTAAATGCTTTAAGTCATGTCCTTCCACACCAATGATCGTCTGTAATTGAGATATTTCTCCTAGTAGCTTCTGAAGACTGTTAAGAGTTTGATAACGGTCCCTTCTAATTTGTACCTTTTGAGGTCTGATTCTTTGTAAGTCTATCTTATATCCTAAATAGTTAATAGAATCTCCTCTTTGTATCTTTTTTGGGGCAATTTGTACACCCCATCTAGGCAGAACCTCCTTTACCATAGTAAACATATGTTCTAAAGTTTCCTCATTAGAATCTGCTAAAAGAATATCATCCATATAATGATAAACAAGAGATTGTGGAAATTGTTTACGAATTATTTCCAAAGGTTGTTGTACAAATTGTTGGCACAAGGTAGGGCTGTTTAGCATCCCCTGAGGTAAAACTTTCCATTGGTATCTCCGAACTGGTTGTGAGTTATTAAGAGTTGGCACCTAAATGCAAACTTTTCTCTATCACTTTCTTGTAATGGTTCAGTCCATTTGTATTTGGCAAATTCAGAGAAAGTACTATATTATCTATCCTATCTTGGTGAATCTAAAGTTTTATATCTAAACCATTTTTTTATTATAGCTTGTATTACCACCTTAAAAATGTCTTTTTTGGACCTTAAAGCATCTTTTTAGATAAACAACTTAAGCTTTCATGTTTCTCAACCTTATAAACTTTACATCTCTCATGTAAGTTTCCTTTCTGAATCTGGTAATAAGGAAAACTGTAACTATAACTATCTGGTCTTCAATCCCATCAAAGATCTGAGAAGAATAAAATATTACCTAAAAAAACAGGAAGTGCAGAGCAAGCAACTTCCAAAACACAACCCAGAGACTGATTATTAATTATGAAAGCTTGGCCTTTAACTTAGGCTTGTCTCAATGAGCTCTTACAACTTAAATTAACCCATATTTTTAAATCTATGTTCTGCCACATGGTGTTACCTCTCTTTCATCTTGTACCTTCTGTTTCCTCTCTGTGTCTGGCTGGTGACCCTCTCTTTCTTCTTCCCAGAGTCCTCTCTTTCCTAACCTCTTACTGCCTAGCTTTGGTCTTTAAGCTCTTTATTAAACCAATCAGAAGGCACTTTGGCAATGCTATATCTTTACAGTGTAAACAAATATTCCACAACAAAAAATATAGAAGACTTTGGACTAGAAAAGTAGTTGAATGCTTTAAGCAGGACTTACTGGGCATCCTAATAAGAGTTTGGATGACAGCAGTGCAGAGAGCAACTTGGACCATGGGGGCCCAGTTCAAGAGGTTGCAGAGGGGAAAATATTAGTAAATGGCCCAGAGACTATTCTTGTGATATTTTGGCAAAAGGCTGCTTTCTGCCTTTGTCAAAAAACATCTACCTGATGCTAAATTGAAGATTTTTGAACTAATGTCATTGGCAGAGGATATTTCAAAACAGCCTAGCATTTTGTGTCACATGGTTATTAGTGATCACAGTTATGCAGATCTACAATGAAAAAGGGCAAGCAGGGCAAAAATAAATACAAAAGGCACCGTTTGAGGAGAAAAGGAGCACCAGGAAATATAATGTTGGATTCAAATTTTATGATTGAAGAGAAGAGAAGTTCAAAGAAAAGCCTGATGATAAATGGAATAAATGGAGTAGTGATGTCAGGGCAAGACCCATTCAGTTAATCCTGAAACCCATGAAGGAAAGTCCTGGGGGGATTTCTTCCACCTAAATACCAGCATGGGGGTGTTGGTAGTGCAGACCTTTAATCCCAGCACTCAGGAGGCAGAGGCAGGTGGATCTCTGTGAATTCGATGCTAGTCTGGTCTACAGAGCAAGTTCCAGGACACCCTCCAAAGCAATACAGAGAAACCCTGTCTTGAAAAAACAAAAAAGCAAACAAACGAACAAACAAAACTATCTGTAACTAAATACCAGCATGTGTTTAAAGATCACGGAGAAGTGCTTGCACATCCATGTGTTCACAGGGTTCTTGAAATGTGTCCGGGATTCTCATGGAGGCTTCTGTTCTTGATGTGTGTGGCTGGGTTTAAAGCTTTGGTCATTGAGTTTTTGAAAAAGTCCTGTTTGGTTATTATATTTGTCACTTTACTGCCGTGACAAAATTCCTTGTGCAGGGGCCATGCTAATCTTCTCTGTATCGTTCCAATTTTTAGTATGTGCTGCCCAAGTGAGCATGACAAAATACTTGACAAGAAGGCTGTGATGGTTTGAATGAAAAATGTCCCCTCTAGCTAGGTCTTTGGTATTTGAACACCTGGTCCCCAGTTGGTGGTGTTGCTTAGGGAGATGGTGTGGTGTTGCTGGAGGTGGTGTGTCTCTTGGGATGGACTTTGGGACTGTATGGGCTTGTTCCTCCCCCCCCACCCCCGTTCACTATCTCCTCTCTGTATTTGTGGTTGAGGATGTGATTTTTCATCTTTCTGATCCCGTTCCTATGCCTGATGCTTGCTGCAAAGATTCTGCATCATTGTGGACTCTCACCTCATCCCTCTGGAACCATAAGCCTCTCAAAACTCACTCTTCCTTAAGCTGCTTTTGGTCTCAGTATTTTATCACAATCAACAGAAAAATAACTAATACAAATGGCGCATTTGGGTTTACAGTTTGAGAAGGAACACAGTCCATCATGACATGAAAGCATAGTGACTGGAGCATGTGACACACATGGTCACATCGTGTCCACAGGCAGAAAGCATCAGCAGGCAGACGGGCCAGGCTGTAAAAACCCCAAGATCTGCTGCCCACGTGAACCTCTTCTGGTTCTATTTTCTAAAGCTTTTACAACCTTTTGAAACAGCTCCACCAGCTGTCGACCAAGTGTTCAAACACATGAGCCCATGAGGGATGCTTCACACGTAAACCATAACTGTTATTATTCTTATATTCCTTTGTGGTTTGTTTTAAAAAGGCAAGAGGTTAATCTAATCTCCTCCTCTAAATTTGCTTGTTTCTTGTGAATGGAGGCCATAAAAATTTTATCTCATCCTTAATAGCAACATTTAGTAAAGTATTTATGAAATCTACTAAATAATTTATTAAGGTATATCTTGACTTTAGTTGGAGACCACCAGGCTTCAACTGATGGCTCTAGACCCAGGATCACACAGTTGACTCTGGTTAATTTTGGGGCATCACAAAACAAAATAGGCAAATCTGAAACTGAGAGAGATATTTGTGGGGAAGGTAGCAGATGGAGGGGATGGTAGGAAGGTGGGGGTGGTGAGAACAGTCAGTATACAAGGGTACACACATAACATTGTAAAAATGCAATTTAAAAAGATATATCTTGAAGCTGGGATGTTCTAGGTTAATCTTATTTCTATGAACCCTTATAGCTCCTTTGATTTATGGAATTCCTTTTAGATTATAGTTTTGAATATTAGTTCTAGCCACTGCTAAGCTTCTTCAGGGACTTCAACAGCATGAATATCATTTCTCTTTTGTCTGGCTTATATTTCTACTTCTTCTCTGGCCCCTTTCATTTCTTACATCATGTTATTTTTTAAGTTCCTTTAGCTCTTTTACTGCCTTTCTCTGCTGGCCTTTATTAAAATTGCATTTGAGTCTATTCTGCGCTAGCTATTTTCTGATTTATTTTTCAGCTATAAGGTAACTGTATTTTCCTTCCATTTCTCTTCAGAGTTCCATGAATTCTGTCCTTGTTTTATCTAATTTTAAATCTTAGACTCAGGGTGTTTTCTTCAGATTTTCAAATGGCTTTCTATAAGAATGTTTATTTATTTTCATTTGCAGTGCTGCAATATATTTATCAGCAAGCTTTTAAATTATGTTTGCTGATTCATTTCTAGAAAAGACGGTTGTCACTGAAGGAGTTTGTGCAGAAGGGACTGCACAGTTACCACTTGGTACATTTTGTTAATAAGCTACAGGAGATGGTGGCTGGGCTTTTGTTGTCGCTGGGTTCACTAATAAAACTCTCCAGCACTGGCTTCCTTGCACTTACCAGGTCTGCTCATCTTACAGCACGTGCAGCTGGCCTCCTTTGGTCTCATAGTGAATTTTAGCTTTCAGTCAGGCATGGAACAGGCACTCAGTGAACAGCCGATGGGACTGAATGAAGAAATAGCCCTCCCTTGTTAAAGGAAGCTTTCAAATAACTGCTCACTGGAGGTTACTCCAGTGTGTATTTCAGCAAAAAGTCAGAGCGGTTTCATGTGCAAGGTTTGTCTTTTAAAGAGAGGGTTTCACCGTGTAGCACAGGCTACATTCAAGCCCCACAATCTTTCTCTCTCAGCCTCTGAAATTCTGGATGTTTATCACCCTGCTTAGGCTTAAAAAACCCCAAACTATATTTAGTTGTATTTGGAGTGTAGACTTGTAGTTTTTCTGCTTCATGCATATTTTTCAAAGGTGGGAGGGCGAGTTTTCCCCACTTGATGTGTGTAACATTTTCCTATTTTTTTTTAACATCAGTTCTCTGTGGGTTTATTTTTGTAATGTTGAAGTATTTTACAGGATTTTAAATTAATGATGAAGCTTTCTGTCAACTTGTCATTCTACTGGTACTTGGACGCGGGTGTTTGTGTTTTGGAGAAGGGGGTGGAGGTGGTACAGCTTTTCTGGGCTTCCTTTGTCGTGTAGGATCTTACATCTCCTTTCCTTACTTTCCCTTTCATCACTCAATTTTTTTTTAAATACTTACTTATTTTAAAAATTTAGTTTTCAGGTTACAGAACAACCCCAGCTCCTCTCCCTCCCCTTCTCCTGCCCCCACCTCTCTCCTATCCGTTCTGCCATCCACTCCTCAGGAGGGTAAGGCCTTCTTTCAGGAGTCAACAAAGTCAGCCATACCAAGTTGAGGAAGGTCCAAAGAACTCCATCCTGTATCAAGACTGAACAAGGCATCTCACCATAGGGAGTGGGTTCCCGAAAAGCCATTCTTCCACCTGGGATGGGTCCTGGTTTCACTGCTTGGGGCCTCCCAGGAGGTGAAGTCATATAATTGTCACCTGTAATTCAGGGGGCCTAATTTGATGCCATGAAGGTTCCCCAGCTGTCAGTCCAGAGTCTGTGAGCTCCCTCTAGTGACAGTTGTAGGATGTGTGGCTTTGTTGAACCACACATTTCCTGAGGAACAGAGGAACTATGTCACTGTGGGGTCAGGCATTGAAGTTTCTTATACTCGGGATTCTGCCCAGTGTATCAGTCAACTTCCTGTTGCCTCTGAATCAAGATGTAAGGACTCAAACACTCAGTTGCACATAGGCCTTCATGCTGCCATGATGATGATTAACTGAACCTCTGAAATTTTAGGTGAGACATCTCAATTAAATATTTCCTTTGTAAGAGTTGCCGTGATTTGGGTGGTGATGGTGCATGCCTTTAATTCCAGGAGAGGCAGATGGATCTCTGTCATCGCTCAATTTTATTTCTTTTTATAATAAAATTACTTTTACTTACTTATTCTTGTGTGTATGGAAGCAGGGGTGGTTTGCCACAGTATCTGTGTGGAGCTCAGAGAACAACTTGTGGGCGTTGATTTGCTCCTTCCATCATGAGGGTTCCAGGGATCCAATTCAGGTCATCAGTCTTGGCAGCAAGTGCCTTCATCTGCTGGGCCACCTGTCTGGCCTCCACATCACTCAATTTTGTTTTCTTCTTCTCTCTCTCTCTTTTAAAGACAAGGTCTCACTATGTAGCCCCGACTGTCCTGGAACTCACTCTGTAGACTAGGCTGCCCTCCAATTCACAGAGATCCTCTTGCCTCTGCTGCCTGAGTGCTGGGATTGAAGGCGTGTGCCACTATGCCTGGCTTAATTTTCAAAGACCTTCTTTCTTATTGTCGATTTCTCCCTGGAAGCCAAGTATTTAGGGCGTGCCCCCTTATGTCATGGCTGCCCCTCGATATCCATACTGGATTCTGAGATGGGAGTTCCTTGGGATTCTTTGTTTTCAAATAATGATGAGGGTTTAATTTTGTATAAAAATAACCACTTTGCTGTTACTTTGAGTTCTGTGAGTTTCACCTCTTTTGGGGGTGTGTGTTGTTGTCTGGGAAATAAACCCAGGGCCTCCCAGGCACTAGGAAAAGCTCCATACTGAGCTGCAGCACATCAATACCTGAGTTCTGCATCATTTGAAGAAGGGACCTTTGTGTCCTGTGGATGGGATTTTAATGCCCTTATTTCATTTATGGAAGGACAAGCAAACCATAAAGGGTCCAACCTACAGAAGACTTGAGCTTCATGGACCAGTGGACCCAGCTGCTGTGCATTTTGCTTCATGAACATCACCATGGACCAGTGTGACCTGACTGCTGTGTCCTGTGTACCATGGACATCACCATGGACCAGTGTGACCTAACTGCTCTGCACCATCCACAGCTGCTGCAGAAATGCATTAATGCGTTTGCAAGAACATGCAGCATTTTCATAAAGACTTTTAAACTCAAGATCAATATAATCTCAGTGAACTTCAAAAGTTTGGAACCAGATATAGGATCCACAATAAAAAAGTAGAAGGACAAGTAAGTTAAAATTTATAGAAAATCCCCCAAATTTGGAAATTCAGAAACTTAAAAAAGATTTTATTTTAATCATTTTAAGTGTGTGTGTGTGTATCCACATGAGTTCTGGTGCCTGTGGAGGTCAAAGGCATCGATCCCCTGGAGCTGGAGTTAAAGGTGGTTGTTGTAAGTTACCCACCATGGGCGCTGGGAATTGAGCTTGGGGTCCTCTGCAAGAGCAGTATGTGCTTTTAACTGCTGAGTCATCTCTCCAGCCCTGAGAAACTCCTCTAAGAATCCATGGATTTAAGAAAAACTGCAGACTAAGCTTTGTTGTTTTGAGACAGGGTCTCATTCTGTAGCCCAGACTGACCTGGAACCCTCCTTGTAGTAGGGATGGCTTCAAATTCACACTAATCCTCCTATCTCAGCCTTCCTGAAAACTGGGATTACAGGCATGAAAATTCATACCTGGCTAGAAAAATGTTAGTTTTAATGAGAATAAAACCACAGTTGGGAATGGCATGCTTGTTGCCCTCTTGAATGCATGTCAGCTGTGACTACTTGCACAAGATCTGTCTAAGATTAGGCCTGGCACCAGCCTATCAGGGAGGGGGAGGAGCTCATTGGCCCCACCCTCCCTGATGATCAGAGGTTGCTGGGATAAAGAGGGACATTTTCTTCAGTAGGGTAGCAGCTTCAGAGAAA